TCTAGACACCAGTGCCAGAATATTTCTTTTTGTCATGACCTGGTGGAAAGCGGAGACGAAAGCAGACGACAAAACATAGCTAGAGAGCTGAAGAGAAGGTGAAAGGAGACAATTTTAGAGAAGAAACATTTTCGTCGCTCTCCGAATTCGAACCCGGGACCCATTGAATGAGAGGCAAACACCTAAACGTTTAAGCCAATTAATTAATCTTGAGTGAGGAAACATTTTCATTGAATACATGTGTATTTTAGGTCCTTCTGCTAGGATGTTGTATCCCGCAATTACACACACACACACACACACACACACACACACACACACACACACACACACACACACACACACAGTCTCACTCTAAAAACAAACACCCACAGTCCCAACAGAATAGATCTACACCGAAATTAATCCCACGGAGAGATCAGGCGATCACTTCCATTATTAAGATCAGATCAACTAGTCGCTCCAACCTCACCATAAAGGTTTCTGGATGGTCCCCCTAAAGCCCTGACCAATATTTAATGAAACATGACCGTGGAGCTTACTGCCAGTGTCAGCGTCTGATTTTTATCGCCAGTCCACGACTCATTTTACGATTATAGACCAATACGTGGCCTCCGACTAATTCAACGTATTGAGTGTTCTCGTTGTTTGTTTCAGCTAGTTTCTAATTCATTAGTACAGCGAACGTTTTCTGCTAAGTTGAAACTTAAGGTAAGTAAGATCGAACACTTAGACTTCTCGGATAAGGGCGACAAAATTTAGGAAGTCCCGTGTGCAGGTTGCGCACATTAAAGATTCCGGGGGCCTTAAAATCAATAAGAGCTGGCTTCGGCCGCTAACCGGGCAAATTTCAAAATTAGTTCCTTCCAAACTGAAAATGCTTAACCTGTCTAACGCGCTGATGTGACCCAATGCCGTTGCGAGCGTCGTAAAACACTAACAAAAAAACAACAACAACAAACAAACAAACAGTCCCCACCCCCAACCAAAAAAAAGAACCAAACTAAAAATAGATTTTGATTTACCGTGATGGTGTATCCTGCAACGCCAACATGATAAAAAGAACTTTTAAGATAAAATAAAAATTAGACTTAGGTACCTTAAATATCCATATTTGCATTGTTAACACTGACACTACCGGTCCTACTTTGTAATTTTACGTTTATGCCTGGGACAGTCTCGATGCGGTAAAGAAGGGATTTAATTAATAATTTCCAGTCTGACCACATGCAAGGCATCCGGGGTAACGACAGAGAACAGGGGTTAAAAGGTTCGTCCCTACACTTGGATGACAAGTAACAAAATGGTCTGATGAACCAGGGCTGATAGCCTGTTGTGGTGATTAGATTGGCCCGAAAGTGTTTTCCGGAATTCTCCTCCTATTGAAGTAAGCCTTGGTCGATGAGGGGAAATGTACTCCCGTCGGGATGTGGGTTGGAAATACAGAGTTTTGAGTGTCTCATGGATATTATAATAAGAACTATAGTGAAGAGGGAACACACACACAAACACACACACACACACACACACAC